TTCCAGCTTTACAAAACAGGATGATCTCTAAGATTATATCAAACCAAAAAAAATTAGCATATAATGGATCAAATGCCAGCAGCGTCTCTCCTTGTTCAGCCATGCCCACGTTCAGTACCTGCTTTCAGGTAAAATTCAAACCATGCAGAATCTCTAGAGAACAGAGAAAGACCTACCAAATGGAAAGCAACTCCAGCTAATAAGAAACACTTCCTTCTCTAGATGTTCTGATCCTTCCGATTCCTCTACTTGTAAATGTCTTTTCCTAAGCAAGCCATTCTTGAGAATTTGGGAAAAAAGCCTTATAATCTACCTCGGGGATGCTTGTTGGTTTTCCTCCTTAATTTTATTCAGTTACTTTTAGTCATACTTCCTCCTCCAGTGCTAAATCACTCTTCCCCCTTCTAGTGTACACTCTCCTGACACTCACAGGTAGTAATCACATTCCCTGCCTTTAGTTTTCACTGAGTTTGAGTCTACATATTTAGTCCTTCTAATTCTGTCTCATAAACTGGTCCTTTCAGCTTCTTAGTCGTGCCTTTATGTTTCTTTGAACTTATTCCAGCTGTTCTCCATGTTTCTGGTAATGAGGTGTCTGACATGGAATACAGGGCCCCATGGCTTCACTGAGACCATGTAATGCAGAGAGGTCCTCCGTGGGGTAGTGCCCAAGCCCAGCCAGGCCAGGTCCTTGTCACTCTCGAAGAGCTAGTATTACTGTCAAGATCCAATAACCCCTATATCCCTGAACTTCTGGGAACAACCAACCACATTTTCTACTTCCTGCCATAGCTCACACTGTTTCTCCACTTGAAGTTACCCTCTTTCTGTCCTCTGCTATCAACTGTCACTTTAAGAAACACATCTTGCCCCTTCTGTTCAAATTGAAAGCAATAATGTTTTCTCTCTACTTTTGCGTGGTCATTTACTACACAGTCCACTTTCCTTGTAGGTTTTTTTAAATATGTAATTCATATGCCATATAATTTTCCCATTTCAAAGATGTAATTCAGTACGTTTGCTATGTTCTCAGAGTTGTACATCTGTCACTATAATCAATTTTCAAACATTTTTATCACCCCCAAAAGAAACTCATACCCAGTGAGTGACTTCTAGTGGTCACTTCTAGCTACCCCATCATATTCCAGTCCTAGTTTCTCACTCTGAATTTACCTCGTTTGGATATTACACAAAAATGGAATCATCCAATATGAGGCCTGTTGTGACTGGCTTCTTTTACTTACTAGAATGTTTTTATGTAATATATATAAAATATAACTAGACCTAATGTGTAGCATGAATCAGAACTTCATTCCTTTTTATTGGCCAGTTAATAGTTTGAGTGAATAATGTATACACTGTATCTGTCCTTTTTCACAGCCTTAGGATATCAAAATTACACCTTTAAAAATACAAGCAGGTGAGCTGGGTGTGGTGGCACATGGCTGTAATCCCAGCATTTGGGAAACTGAGACAGGAGGATCACCCCAAGTTCAAGGCCAGCCTGGGGTACTTACTGAGTTCAAGGCCAGCCTGAACTACAAAGCTAAGACCCTGTCTCAAAAAAAGGGGAAAAAAGACACGCAGCTTTGATGGGTATTTATAGTTTTAAATTCCCATTTTTTCACTGCAAAAACGGATGTTGTAGTGTTATATAGACAGAAAGACCCATATTCTGGTCCCAAAAATGGACATGTACAATTAAATTTGGTTGATGACACCAAACTGCTGAGAAGTCTATATTCTCACCTATAGTTGTTCACTAGTACCCACTTTCCCAGACTTAGCACACCTGATTGTCAGCAATCTCTGAAACTTTTACTAATATGATACACAGGAAACACCTATCTTACTTGATTTGTGTTTCTTTAACTATTAACGAGGTTGGATATCTCTCAGTTTATCAGTTATTTGTATTTCTTCTATGAGGTTTTTATTCATATTTTGTTTTTCTATTAACTTATTGGTCTTTTAGGCTTATAGTACCATGTCTTCTCTAAATTTTCTATATCTATATATGTAGTACTTTTTAAATTTTTTTAGACAGAAAACCTGGGGAAAAAGTTACTAAACTAAAATGTTAGTATCTTCAGGATTATCTACTTGAGAAGCCAAATTAGAATAAAAACTCTTTCATGAGAAATACATAAGTGACTTACAGAGCCTGTAGGCCACAGATGCCTGGCTCAGAATATAAATTAGAGTTGTGTAGAATCTTCCTGGGAAAGCCTGAGATGAGAACCTGAAACAACACAACCTTGTATCTTTCCCTAGTTGACTTCAGTTCCACTGAGTCTCAAGAGCTAAACCCTTTCTACCTGCCTGTGTTGTGGGTTGTTTTGTTTGCAGCTCTCTTAGTATATGTGCTGCCAAAGCAAGCACCTTTGCAGCTATCTTGACAAGGCAGCTGTCCTCCTAGGTTTCCCTCTGTGACGTATTTGTGTGACACAGCCAGACCCAAAGATGTACCAGGACTTAGTGTGCTCTAAATCTGGCTAGGTCATTTAAGGGCCAGACTTAGACCGCACCAAGTCTTGGTGCATCTCAAGGATTTAATGAGAGAGTCATATAAAGTGCAGTGTAATGCTGATGTGTTCAGAATGCTTGATAAATGTTAGATGTTATGGTTAATGTTATTAAATGGGTAAGAGTGCCCAGAAAAAGTAAATAGATCAAAAAGCAAAGAGAACCACATTTTAATTCCACTGTCAGAATCTACGTGCTGTGAGCCAAGAATTAGCTTCCTCAACTACAGCAGAGTAGGGAGTAGAACTAACCATCTACTTTGTTTTCTTTGTTCATTAAATCCCTAAAACAACCGTGTCAAGGTGTTATTTCGCCATTTTACAGGTAAAAAGAGACCAAAGTCAAATAAAGTAATAATTGGCAGAGTTAACATTAAATGCCAGACATTCTAACCCTGGAGCCTGTATTCTTAACTATATTTGGGGGGACGGGATGGTTTTTGTTTTTTGGAGATGTGGTTTTGCTGTGTAGTCCAGACTTTGAACTCACTGTGTAGCTCAGGCTAGCCTCAAACTCATGTTCTTCCTGTCTCAGCCTTTAGGATACTCAAATTACAGACATGTGCCATGCCGTACCCACTTTTATAATCGAATTTTAATTCTACTCTCTTTCCTAAAACCTGCTCTGCCTCATATTTTTAGTCTAACTTGTTCAGTTTCCTCAGCTAGAAATTGTCAAAAGTGACTCCATTTTCCTTTACTTTTTAAATTTTTTTTTAATTTTAAAGACAATAATAAAAAAAGTACAGAATTTCAAAACAAGATAATAGGAAATTAACAATGATTATTATATTGCATATTGTTATTGTCAAAGTAGTTGCTCAGATTACGAGACATAGGCATGTAAAATTGATCAAATAGTATAAACACTAACTGTTCCTTTCAGTGAACTAATAGAAATTAGTAGTACAATTATCATAGCTAATACATACATGTATATTCCTTCCTTTTCTCCTTGCCCCCATCCTAGTTATTCTTTCCTTTTTGAGCAGTTTCTTTCCCTTTCACATTCTCCTTCACTTTAACTCCCCTTTGACAAGGCTGAAACACATGTGGGTCCTCCCCAGTCCTTGATCTGCCTTTGCCCTCCTTAGCTCTGACCTGGGTTTGCAGCCACAACCTCGATGTAGCCTTCCTTCCACTCAGCCTGACATGTCTTTCTAACCTTCTGCATTATCTTCTAAAAAGATAAAGTTGATCTTGTCACTGGACTGTTATGAAACTCTTGGACTTCCTTTTTGTCATGGTGTTAGTTTGGGTTTGTGTTTTAACCAGATTATGTCTGAACTACTGGCTTCATGTACATTCTGACCCTCTCCTGTCATTTCAGTTCCATTCCTGCCTTTCTCCACCCAATCTCGTCTCCACCCATTTCAGCCGTCCTAAAAGTTTCACACATCCCGGGGTGCGTGCCAAGTCCTTTCTAGCTCCACACATCTACATTTGTCTCATGTGCTCAAAAGCTTCTTCTGCCTTTGATCTCCCAGACAGACTTCTTTTTAGTTCTCAAGATTCAGATCCTAGGCACCTTTAATAGCACCTTCTTAAACTCCTCTGGGATGAAACAGTCATTATGTCCCCCCACAGCATATGTTTGTGCCTCTTCTGGGCCCTGACTATCCTGGATTATAACGTATCTATTCATATGCTTGTCATCTCCATTAACCTATGGACCAAATCCACCCATTTTCAGTTGCTAGCACATAGTAAGCACTCGATAAATTTGGCTAAATGACAGGATGTTAGAGGGGGTGTTGAAAACAACAGAAAGTTAGAAGTATGCTTACTCCTAAACAAATGGACTATCTTACGTTTCTCCAAGTGATCTGTTGAGCTAAATGAGTAGCCTAAGGTAAGACCTAATGCACAGAATAAAATTAATATAGAGCAAGTGGTCATAAGTTTCCTTAAGGCAGAAAGTACCATGCAAGGTTAAGATGCTGTCTGAGGTGATCTGTGCCTTCCTCTCCCAGTTGTGTTTGTGCGATTGTAGCACCATGGAGAAAACATTCTACCCAGAGTGAGAGGGTAGGGTTGAGTCCCAGCTTTGTAAGTTATCAGTTTTCGGGCCTTGTACTCGTTTTTGCACTTTGGGGTTGGGTTGGGTTGGTTTTGAGACAGAGTCTCATTATGTAGTTCAGGCTGGTTTTGTATTCACTACGCAGCACAGGCTGGCCTCAAAGTCACAGCTGTCCTCCTGCCTCAGCCTCCCAAGGGCTGGGATTACAGATGTGTGCCACCACACCTGGCTCATAGTCTCTCACTTCTTTAGGTCTCATTTTCACGAACAGACATTTGATACTTTCATATTTTCTTTGTTAATTTTGATGCAGGGATACTAGACAAAGAAAGTGCTTCTTGTTGTTTATTGATGAGCAGTAATTTTTTTCTTTTTTCTTTTTGATGAACAGTAATTCTTAATTCAGTGCAAGTTGTTTTATTTTATCTGAAATCTACCTCTCCTTTCCCTTTCAGCTTCAGAGTGAGTTAGAAAAGTGTGAGCGGGACAATGCAGAATTGCAGGAGTTTGCCAATGCCATCCTTCAACAGATCGCAGACCACTGCCCTGACATCCTGGAGCAGGTGGTCAATGCCCTGGAAGAGTCATCCTGACCCTGCCGTATGGGAAGTGGCCAGCCGAGCCGCTGAGAGAGTCAAGGAGCCAAGAAAGGGAAACCACAAGGAGTAGGCGTCCAGAAACGTCTCGCACCAGACACTACAAACTGCATCCTGTGTTGCTCACTTGAAGAAGTGTGGTCCCGGCCTGTTTCTGCATCTGTCGTCTTACGCTGCCTTTCTGCTGTCACTGTTGTGTCTGCATTAATTTTCTTGGTGTCCAAGGCAGCCAGATGGCTGTGTCTCCGTGAAGAACTGACCTCCTGTCATCAGAAGTGGGGAGCTGTGGAAGCTGGTGCTCTACCCTCAGAGGGACATGAAATAAAGAGCCCATTCCCTGCTGTCCTCTGACAGGACAGCCGCCTCTGGGATCTATCCCGAGTTCAGCATAGTGGGAGAGTTCTCACACTGGAGCAGAGCGCTGAGTGTTCTAATTTCACAATGGGTGCTTTCTCCCAAAGGGTAAAATGATTTCAAAAAGCATAGAAAAAGAGATGGGGAAACAGATCAGAGACAGAGACAGCCAGCCTCTCCTTTCACTCTCATTTGTTTGTTTTTCCTGTATAGTGATTTATAGGCATTGGGGGCAGAGGCTGACCTGCGCTGGTTTAGCTAGCACTCACCTCCAAGTGTGTCTTCTCCCCAGCCCTGACTGTCTCATCTTCCTTGCTCTGTTCCTCAGTTAACAGGAGGAGTATGTGAATGGTCTTTCCCCTGCTCCCTCTTAAGACCCTTGATCTTCCCCTGCTTCACTGTTAGATCAGATATCTCTGACTAATGAAGAAGAAGGCTTGACATGTTGGGTGCTGTCGACACCCACTGCAGCCTTACTTCTCCCGAAGGTAATGTTCCTTGGGGTCAGGCTAGTTTCTTCCTATAACTCCCAGAATACCACCTGCCTCCCTGCACCCACACCCAGCTCCTACAGCACGGTAGTTTCTGAAACACGCAATCATCTTTGACACGCAATCATCAACATCACTCTTCACTTTGCCCTTGCCCCGTGTTCTCAGAGTCCAGGCCTCATTCACTGCCGGAACCGTCTTCTGGTGCAAATGAGTCTGTCTTACCCCACACACATTCCATCCTGCATTCCTTCATTCAGAGATTATTTATGAAAATCCCTACTGAGTGCAAGTCAATGTGTCACATACCCATCCTTGAAAATGTCTCCTTTCAGTGAGGGAAAGGTATGGTAGGTTCTTCGACACACACTTGGTTAAGTCAAAGCGGAAGAGCATCACACCTTTCCGTACCCGCTCTGAATAGAAAGTAGCTTTTCTAGAAAAATCTCACAACTCATCATTTCTTGTAATAAAGGAAGTGATGGGTTTGGGTTTTCGTCACCTGTTTGTAGTATTCCATTTGATGGGCCAGGATTTGCTGTTTGTTGTTGATACCCTTAAAGAGTATTCTGTTTAGGGGACTGTGAGTACCTACTTGTAGAGAGTGATTTTTTAACGTGGGACTGAGAACTCAGCCAGCTTATGCTGAAATCAGAAAGGTATAAGTCCAGATGAAGGAATTAGAATTTTGGAGACATTTTTCCCAAGTATAGACAATGGCAGTTGTAAATAATTAGGCACGAAGAAATAGACCACTTGACCCAAAGCTAGCCCTCTGACCACCTCTGCTACCAAAAATCCTCTAAACACTTTCTGGTAAGAGTTGCTGGAGTAAATATTTTTGTCTTGGTTCTCTTCTGTCCTTTCCCACTTCCCAAAAGATTTCATGCTGCACAGAAAGACCTCACAGCCGTCAGTCTAGGATCTCCCTGCCTGTCCCATTAACTTACATAGTCACTGCTCTCGCTCCCCTGCTTCCCTGCTATAAAACAATCCCTTTCATGTGAGAAGCTGTGGGATGTTCCTTATTAAAGGCTTTACTGGGCTCTGTCCATAAACCTCTCACCATGATGTTTCTGCTGGAGGGCTGGCCAGAGGAGGTGCAGGGGTTAGATGGTAAGTGGTGGTCGGTGGTGTTGTTACCTCAGTTCTGTTTGTTTACTTACTGACTGCCCATAAGTCTTGTAGAAAGTACCCAGTATTGCAGGGCTGAAATACTAGAGTCTCACTTTGCCCGCCATAGTGTAAGAAACTAAGGTGTGATAATGGCCTTTACAGGGCTGCAGTGGAAAAGAGAAAGTAGAAGCGGGTCACGCCCAAGGCAGAGACAGTCATGGCACGAGACATGTCAGGCAGGCTCCCTGGACCTAGCCATCGGCTTTGGTCACCTAATGCAATGCCTGCGGCTCTGGCCCTTTGGTATGTGGCTCTCACCGTTCCTGCTGTCTCCTCTTCATCCCAGCCTCCCGGAACACTTCCCCTTCAGAAAGACAGGTGCTTCTGGGAGGAAAAATTTCTGGGACAGACATCCTCTATGCAGCCTGCAAGAAATTTCCATAATCTTTCTTGGGTAGCAATCTAGCAGCTCAAATGATTCTGGGGACTGTTTGGCTAAAGTCTGACAGTAAACATGGCCTACCTTTATATTGCAGGGGCAATGTTAATTCTTTTTCCAACATTGAGAGTACCTCAGTGAGTTCCGATCATTCATTGAGCCAACGTTTATTAAGTGCACAACTCCCATCACTCCAGCGTTTATCATTCCATGACCCTCTTGTGTGCATGGTATCACAGGCCACTCAACTGCCACTAGTGTGTACAGCTTTGAGAACTCACTGCAAGTCTCCTGTAGTCTTTCATACACATCCATTCTGTGGACAGATCTAGTTGCCCTTTAGTACCTAAAGGTCTATACCCCAAACCAAGGTCATCATGAGGAGGATTATGAGAAAAGGGGATAGAAGCCACCTGGGGTGCATCACTAAAGAAATGCTGTGTTTCTCTTACCTTTTTACATACCTATATCCCAGGGAGTCTTTGAGTTAACAGTGAGGTGTCTGAATTGAGATTTGCAAGGACCGGAATACCACTTGCAATGGGAAAGACTGTAAATGATCTTTAATTAAGAAATAAGGGAACCCCAAATTTATCTCAGATCTAAACTTTGTCCTTGAGCCTCACAGTCTAAAGAAGATCTAAGTGCATCTCTTTTCTTTACATTGGAACTTTAGAAATAATAGGAAAGCAGATGGAAGCCAGGGCCACCTTCAGTGTTGCTAGAGGCAGTGTGACTTGCCACTTTTTATAATTAAAATAATGCTTTTCCATGAGGAACTGATTGACTCACCACTCCCCAGAGCGAGAGAAGAGGGAGAAGTCATCACAGAGTCTTCAGTCCACTGCTGTCCTCATCCCTGCCCCCTGATGGTCGTGATTGGCATCTGGACTTGCTGATCCAGGAGCCATCACTCCCTCCTGTCTGACCACATCTCTTATGCATAGGCCCATTGGCTACTCTCAGGGTCTTCGAGGAAAGAGCAAAGCAAGGAATGTGTCGCTCTATAGAAGGAGGTCCTCGTGTGGCCTTTCCTACGCTGCAGCGCGCCCTGTGTCAGCAGTGTCAGTGACTTTCTTATCTGTCTCCCTAACTTCATGTCCCCACCTATGAAGAGGAGCAAGAGGAGAATGGACCTCAGCACGGGGAGCGGCCCTCTGTGACCCCAGCCCTCAATCACTGCCAATTCCTGGGTTTCTCAGGAAGGACTGGGACCCTCCAAAGAACATTTTAAAAAAGAATCTACGGTTTTCCCCATGTGACAGAGAATATTAGCCAAAAAGAAAGTGTGCATTAAGCGGAATCCTTCTGAACAAAATGGCTGTGTTTACCTACTCTTTTTAAGCAAAAACTTTCCAAACTTTTTAGTGTTAAACTATAACCAAGTGTCTCCTGATTTTTTTTTTTTTTTTTTCAATATGTTTAGTGAGTGCTGTGACTCTGTTGTAGGTATTTTTTCTCCTGCCCCTTTCAGGGGAGAAGTGGTTTTTGGGGTTAATTTGGGGGAGTGAATTTCTGTCCCTTCCCACCTCTTTTGTTTCTCTGCTTGTCAATATTGTCTGTGTGATTCAGAGAATTGGGGCAGTTACTTTGTGTCCTTTGTTGCAAATACTAAAACATTAAAAAGTAGCTGTAGAACTGAAAAAAAAAAATCTGTGTTTTTAAAATGCAAACCAAGACCATGTTAATAAAGAAATTCAAGCTATGAGGCAGCCAAGCTCCTCCCCCTCCTCCCACGCTGGCTGAGGTATCGGCCAGGCCAGCCACTTGGGAAATACAGTGACCACACTCCAGGTGGGTGGCTGCCTGCGTGTGGCTGACAACTGCCGAATACGAGAAACGAGAATCTAGGGGCGGGAAGGCTCTCAGTCATGCCGGGATTCTCCCATACTTCCTCAGGACCTCTGGGTAAAGGTTTCAGAGTTGACCCAGAACTACCCTTACTCCATCTAGGTCCCTGCCCAGTGTGCCTCGCATTGTGTGGCAGCTGGATTTGACTCCTTGGCCCCTGCCTGGCAGGCCACAGGACCTTTTTCCTACCCACTTGGTGCTATATCATCCGGTGACCATCCCATAGGGCCGACGCTGGCCAGCCTGGAGCCTGCAGTCCAGGTGCAATGAATTGTTCTCAGAACTTGGTTCCTTCTGACTCAGACCCTAGATTTCTTTCCCTTGAAGCTTTTTAAACCCAAATCTCCCAGGCCCAGACTCACTCTCTTGGCCCCAGACATGCCAGGGGCAGGAAAGGAAATGAACCATACTGAAGTGAGAACGCATCCCTGGGCCAGAGTGAGCACTTCAGCCTGCCCCTCTTCCCGTGCCGTACCAGTATTGCATCTCTGAAACAGACCTGCCAGGAGGCACTTGCAGCCTGTCAGGCCGGCCTGCCCCACTGCAGGACATCCAGGTGGGCACTTGGGATTCACTCCCCTCTTTGAGAAGAGACGTGTTGCACTTTAGTGGGGAGCCAAGGAGTGCTGGGTACTGGCCCGTTGTAGCTTGAGTCCCTTTGATAACAGTAGCAGCAGCCTAACGGTGTCTGTGATGCAAGCACACCTACTGCCTTCAACTGTACATGTGTGTGATTACTGGAGTCTTGTTGCCAGCTGAATAAGGACATTCAAAGAGATTGTGTTCTGTTCAACTTCGCCTTGTTTGTTATTGTAAACACTTTGTTCATTTTTTTTTCTTTTTTATTCACAAACTAAATCCATCAGGAAATTATAAAGTTATTTAAAAACTGTGCTGCGTACTTCTTCGAGTCTTTTCATCCGACCATCAGGCAGGTGATATCCTCCCGTCCTGGAAAAGCAGTAAGAGACCCGTGGTTCCCAGGTCAGCTGCAGTGGTGTAGGTAACCTGAGAGCCCGGGGACTTAACACACCCTGCAGGGGTTGGTACCTTATCCACAGGCCCACTGGGGTGTTGAGAGGGCCGCTTTAGGTTCCCACCCAAACTCTGGCTATCTTCTCAAACTCCCCTCCAGCTCCCTTTTCCTCCTTCACATCCTGAGCCCCGAGGATCTGCCACCCCGATGTGATGGAGCTGCTCATGCCAAGATGGCAACAGCAAGCGTGGTCACGCCTCAAGAGGGTTTTGCTCGGAACTGGGATTTGTGCCTCGGTGGGCTGTGCTCTGATGGGTTAACTCAGTGTGCGTGCTGAGTCGGCCAGCAAAGTGAATACCAAGAATGAAAGGGAGCCAGAGGATGCTGCGTGTGAGAACGGTCGCTGCCACTTCTGATTTCACCTGGGGTCTTACGCTCAATAAGAAGCTATTCTGGGGAAGGGGCTGGGGACTTAGCTCAGCAGCACAGCGTCTGCCTGGCAAGCGCGAGGTCGTGAGTTCGATTCCCGGTACCAAAAAAAGAAACTATTCTGGGGAATTTCTTTTACGAGAATTAATTGGCTGGGTAGCTCCACTTCTGTGTCTACCCCAGAAACAAATGAGAAGGTCTGGTTTCTGTGTTCCCTCCGCCAGGGTAAATTGTGATGCCACTTGATCCACCTGTGGGGAAGGGTCCCGCTCCTCTAGGGCTTGGCTCTCCGTGCTTCCCTCTCTCCAGGCACAACAGCTGCTCAGAGGTTCCACCAGGTCAAGGAACGCCTGGGAGGCATGGCACTGGGTACAGAAAACTTGGCTGTAACTGTATGCGACCGGCCAGGAACAGTTTGGCAGAACATGCACTGCCCACTACGTAAAAATCACAACCACAAGCAGGAGTATCCACAGGAGCCGTCAGGTTACACTGGTCAGCCGTTTCCAGGGCATTCCATCATTTTTGAACTTGTTCACTGTGTGGTCTGCTGTTCAGTCTGTGGATCCAGGCCTCATGGGTTTGAGGAAAATGTATGAGAACTTCCAATTGAAAATTTCATCCATTAACTTGGGTTTTTCTCTGAATTGGAAAAATAGCACTATGACTTGGTTTTTGAGGTGGAATACTAGCTGGGACACAGATGATGAACTAGTCAGGGCCTAAGATGAGACCCACAGACCTTCCCAGCTCCCCTGGGACTTCCGACCTTGCAGCTGTTCCTTCCCTCCACTGCCTTTGTTGGTTCTGTCGATTGCTTTCTAAAAGCTGCTTTGAGAGTAAAAAGCATAAAGTTGCTTTTGCACATCTATTGCTTTAACCCAGCGGGTATGTTGAAAGAGGGGAGGGGCAGGATGTAGCTGCACAGAGATTGGCTAATGAGTCAGTAATGGAAGCTGGGCATCAGGTAAACCATTCTCCCTACTCTGTGTGTATTCAAGGCTCTCCTGAGTAAGGTAAACGATCACTTGTTATCCTGCCCAGCCACCACGCACAGAACCTCTTTCCCCCAGAACCCCAGCAGTTGCCTTTCAGCAAGTAGCATAATGCACAGTTCATCTTGTGTGTTCCTGTTTATGGGCCCTAGGGACACAAAGATGAGTAGCTAGTGGCTTGTCGTCTTGCAGGTTCAGTTCCCAGCATTGGATGTCGTTTGTCCCATTTCATCTTCGCAGCACTCCTTGAGGAAAATCTTCTTACCCCTTTGCAGATGAGGCACGGACTAGTTTAAAATGGCCTAAAGTCACACAGCTGGGACAGAGTAAAGCTAGAATTTAAACCTAACTCTGCCTCCGGAGTATTCTTGCACCCATGCTTGTGGCCACTTCCCAAGGAGCTTCCAGCTAGGCAAGGAAACTCATTCCAGCAATCCCTAGCATGAGATCCAGGAGCAGCGGTTCTCAGAGCCTGTGCTTGGGCTTCCCAGTAGGAGTTGTTCTAGTAGAGGCACTCAGGGAGAGGGACGTGGGAGAGTACACAGGGTGCGGGATAGCCTTGAATGGTTACAACATTGCTTGGCTGAAGATGAGGAGGGGCAGTGACAGCACCAAATGTAGCTTGAAAAGAGCTGGTTGAGCCCCAGCACTCAAAGGCTGCTAGGGCCCTGAATAGCCCCGCTTGGGAGAGCATCACCTCACAGCCTAGATAGAGCCCATCCTCCCCAGCTGCTCACTAAAGAGAAGCTTCCCAGGGGATGATTAAAAAGGGAGGAGGGTAGGCATGGTGGCTCACACAACACTCAGGAGGCTGAGGCAGGAAGATCACTGCAAGTTCAAGGCTAGCCAAAGCTACACAGTGAGACCCTTTCTCAAAAAAAAAAAGCACCTGGCTTGTCAGTACTGGAAAGTTAGCAACATTGCTGACTGAGTGCTCTCTGGTCACGAAGGGAGAAGCCAGGTGAGAGGGCAGTGTGGATGGTCCCTGTGAGACAGAGCATACCACATCTTTCAGGTTAGGGACCTCTGCCACCACACAGCTGGGCCCCTCCCAAAGATTATCTCATTTAACCTTCTATGACTCCACAGGGCAGATACTAACCACTGTTTCTCTGATAATCTAAAAAATAAAGTCACCCAGAGTTGCATAGCCAGCCGGTGATGGCCCTGAGATCTAACCTATGCTGGTCCATTTTCAACTTGCACCATCAGAATCTCCAGAAAAAATTTTCTGGCTGGAGGCAGCAGGGCCGTGGTACAGCAGTGGCTTCAGAGGAAGGCAGGACATTGTATGCCTGGCTTTGTCACCATCAAGGGAGATGTGAATCCTACCACAATTTTGTGCTCTGTTAGGCTCTGGACACCATTGACTTCCTGGGAATCACTGAATGTCCTCACCATCGTTGGGCCCTGGATGGAAAAGGAAAGAGGTTTGCAGACTTGGAAATGACACACCAGCCCTTCCTGTCCACAGACATTTTTCCTTTACCACGTTGTCTAGGGAAGAAATGGCTCCCCTGCCATTAGCAGTGGCTTACAGGGTGCCGTGGCTTCATGTACTGGAAACAATCCCCACATTCTTACATTGGTAATGTTTGAAGGTGAGACCTTTAGGAGGCAGTTAGAAGAAGCAATGAGGGTGGAGCCTCCATAAAAAGACAGGTGGCTTTATAAGAGGAAGAGTGACCCAAGCTATCATACTTGTTCTGTCTCACTGTTATGGTTTGTGTCTAAATGTTTCCCCAAAACTTCATGTGGTCATAGATGCGGCTTTTTCAGAGGTGGCTGAATCTAGAGTGTGTGATGCTGGAATTAGGGTGTTTGATATCTAAAACAACCCACTGATTGGTTCGGCAGCACCCTAATTCTGGTAGCCTAGATAAAGTATAAGAAGGGCAGAATAAACCTGCTAAGGTACCCCTCCCTTTCCCTGTTTTGCTACATTCTGCCCACCGTGAAGTGTTTCTCTACACCACCCTGCCCTGGAGGCAGCCAATTATGGACTGCACCAACTACAAACTGTGAGCTAATTAAACCTTTCCTCCTTTAACTTTTGGTGTCAGGTATTTTGTGTCTCAGCAACAAGAAAAGTAACTAGACACCATGTGATCTCCTCTGCCCTGTTATGACACAGCAAGATGGCCCTCACTAGATGCTGAGTGGATGCCAGTGTGTGATTAGATCTCCAGAACTTTGAGCCAAATAAACTTCTATGCTTTGTAAATTATGTAGTCACAGGTATTTTGTTACAGCAACAAAAAAATGGACTGAGACATGGGGTGGTATGAGATACTCACAGCCTTCTGCCAGTCATAGCTAAGGAACGCTGTCTCCTTCCAACTATCTCTGTGATAGCATGCTGACATCCTGGTTTCCCTTCCTGAATCAACTCAGTTGGTTTGACCACCCTCCCTGGTTCCCTCCTCCCTGTCTCTCAGCTTCAGGCTATGCCAGCACTTGTGCTCCTTGGCCTTGCTCGTAAAGCCAAGAAGCTCAAGCTATGCTCCTTTTAAGGAAAAGACTTGGAGATGTGCAAAAAACAAAACAAAACAAAAATAAAGGAGTCCTTCAAATGTCTGCAAAAATCTCTACGCCAAAAAGCTATCTCTGGTGTCTGATGGAATTCCCATTCAGGAGATAGTTCTCATTTGGTGCATCTTGAGCCTGGGATGATGATGAACATGACAACAATGATGATGATGATGACAAAGATGACAACAAGAATGATGATTTTATTCTTAATACCCTTGAGGTATAAGCCTGGATCCATTGGACCTTTCCCTTACTTTTCTACTATAAGTTTGTAGTTTAGCATTATAGTAGCTGGCTGTGTGTCTCAGTACCTTTCCCTGAGTGTTACAGGAAGCAATCTATGTTTTTACTCACTTGGCATGATGAATGGCAAAGAGTGTGCATGTGTATAAAAGTGACAAAGTGGGGTTTGGATCCATTCTTATGCTCTGTGGAACAGTATTTTGAATATGTATATCTGAGCATCACAGAGGGTCCAATAGACCCATACTGCTCCAAGATGTGTTTAAAAAAAAAAAAGCTTTCTTTTGATTGTTCTGGAAGGAGTAGCCCAATTCAGTACAATGGCACATGAAAAACCAGATTTGCAAGTCTTAGAAGAGGTCAAAGTGAATCATCAGAGTACTTATGCATGAATGATGAAATGATCCACTATGGTAAAGAAAAACAACAACATGTTTTCATAACAGAAGAGGGGTGTAAATGGATGATGATGATGATGATGATAACTTTGATATTGGTCATGTGAGCCAAAGTTCCTGTGACAGTGAAATGGAGCAGGAATCAACTGATACAGACACAGGGAATAAAGACCTCCACTTAGATGACAAAACAGCAATGTGAATACATCTTTGACTAGTTGAAATGTTGCAAAATAGCCATATAACCAAGTGGAATGATCCAATGTTAGAACTACGTCCAAAAATATAGTGCAGATCGTGGCAAGGATGAAGCCTATTG